CCATTTTCAAAAGTACAGAAATGTTATAATAATCACACAGCATAATTTGCAAGCACACACAGACGCAAAGACCTACATCTTTGGAGAGATGTTCTGCAGTTTGATGAGACGAAAATGAAAGGGTTTGACCAAACTGACAATTGCTACATTTGTAAGGAAAAAGTTGCAAACCTAAGACCACCACCCCAACAGTGAAGTACGGGGGTAGGAGCATCATGGTGTGGAATTTTGATTTGCTGCCGGATGAACTGCTGCGCTTCACAATCAGTGGCATCATGAGCAACATCTCAAGACAGCCAGGGAGTTTAGGTTGGGGTGCCAATGCATCTTTATTATAAGGAATACGGGCAGTCTTTATAATTGACAATTAAAGGTTCTGATATCAGTATTGTGAGAATCCTGAGGAAGAGAAAACAAAATGTTATCTGAATTTGTACAGAATGAGAAGGAATTCTACTAAAAAAGAAAAATGTATGTAATCTTAATTTCAAGAAGATAAAAAAATCTCGATAAAAGTCTCAATATTCTGATATTTGGAAAAAAATATCAGAATATTGATATCAAGGGCTAAAATCCAGTAATGTGTTATGTCAGAAAAAAGATACAGATGGCAAGAAAGTGTCTGAGTTTTGAGCTTTGAGTGTTTTGTGAAACAGTATGAGGAAGATTGGTGCCATCTTCTTCATAATCCTGCCCAGGTGGTTAGTATGAAACACAAGGCTGAATTACATAAACCATGAAAATCTGAGACTGATTGGATGTCAGGAAGTGAGAGAAGTACCATCTTTTTTATACAATGTCAATAGCTGGTTTCAGCTGCTGGTGCTGTTTCTCAATTTGTGTGAAACTTATCTTAAGAGAATTAAATAGAAAAATAATCTTGCCAAAACAGGTCCATCATAAAACTGCACAGATGAGCCCCTGTCTAACCTGCCTCTGGCTGTTCATAAATCAACAACCTATTCGGACATGTGCAGAGCAGCAATGAAGAGCTTTGAAGATAGAGTGCTGCATGTAAAATGTGTGTAGGGCATTTCGTATTCTACAGGGTGTGGAACATCAGAGTTGTGAGACACTATTAGTTTTACTAAGTTTCCAAACATCAATTCTATTAGAGAAACAGCCCTTGGCTAAAATCCAGTAATGTGTTATGTCAGAAAAAAGATACAGATGGCAAGAAAGTGTCTAACTGAGCTTTGAGTGTTTTGTGAAACAGTATGAGGAAGATTGGTGCCATCTTCTTCATACTCCTGCCCAGGTAGTTAGTATGAAACACAAGGCTGATATGATAAAGCACAATATTATGTACTTAGAAAGCTACCAACAGCAAGCTAAATATATATGCAGTTTATAATTGTCACTGTGTTAATACCTGGTAATTACAGTTCCTCAATGGCCGTATGCTACATGCAGAATTTTAATTGGCTATTATGAAGTCTGCAGATCCCAGCACACTACTCGCAAAATATATTTAAAAGCAGTAATTCAGGAAAACATATCACCCCACATGCTAACAGCTGTCTGTTGTCGACCTAGAGAGTGTGCAGCAACTGGTAGAGCATTTAAATTTCTGCTATAAGGTGACATGTATAATGTCACCTTATAGCAGAAATTAAAATGAAGAGTGACTCCCCGGGCTTTGGTTTGGGATACTTAACAAAACTCTCATTCATAATTTTTCAGGGGTTTTTTTTTTTTCTTGAAACACTCCTGTGGTAGAAGGAGAAGGCTTAGCAAGATTCTTATCCTGTAGTGACAAAAACCTTTATTTTAATTTGCATAGACTACTCTGGATTACTGTAACAGTATGGAATGCATTTTGCAATTCTGTATTTAAACATGTTGATGATGTACGTACGCCTGTGGCATCGTATTCAAAAAGACTCAAGGCTGTAATTGCTGCCAAAGGTGGATGAGCAAAGTATTAACCAAAAGCAGTGAAGAGGTTTTCTGTTTTTAATGAATTTGCAAAAAATCTCTAAAACATTTTCACCATAATGGGGTATTTGTGTGTAGAATTTTGAAATTAATTTAATACAATTTGGAATATGGCTGTAAGATAACAAAATGTGGAAAAAGTGAAGTGCTGTGAATACTTTCCAAAAGCAATGTAATTTGAACTTCTTTTGTCTGTTTAGTTGAGCTAAATGACTGAATATTTTTAAATCTTTGTTTTATGGCGTATTCCAGTAAAATTGGCAGAGCCTGCTTCTAACTAGCCAAAGAAGAGACAACCTATGCCTAACAACCAATGAGTGATTTATTCACTGTTTGTACAATTTGGATAGTTATTCGTCAAGTGATTCAGTATGACTACATTTAAAAATACTTTTTCTCCAATAAGACATTTTAGGAAATCTAATACAAATGCCTACTTTTCCTTCATGAAGACATTAAGCTGTTAGTAGAAATATCAATTTCTACCAACTAATTTAATCATGCAGATGACTCGTCTGTGCCGGAAGAGAAAGCCCTATTTTGGCGCCTTGTTTTGACGGAGACCAGATAAGGAAGTAAACCTCACCACAACCACACAAGCCCCTTCCCCCTTTTCTTTTTCCACCCCTTCCCCCCGACTGCACTTCAACCATGTACCCCCAGCTCAGAATCACATCCAAAACTTATACATTCACAGGCTGAGGCTCGCCAAGTTTCACAGCTGTCGCACATTTTCAACAGATTCCACCAACCCTAGATGAGGCTGAGGAGAACACATTCCTTTTCCATTACACATGGGCTAAAAGGAATTACCGTTAACATATGATATTGTGGAAGTGGGAAATTTGCCACCCCAACCTTGCCCAAAGCACTCCGGAACTCAGGGTCATGGATTTATTATCTCAGATGGTCCTCGGAGGTCACTGGGGGCTGTTTTTTTTTTTTTTTTTAACTTTTCCCTCCCCTCTTTCGCTGTTCCGGCAAAAACCCCAGCAGCCCCAAGTGTGCTATTCATTAAGTACACTGCACAGCTTTGTGCGTGCGTACGTGTGTGCATGTGTGGCTGAGGGTGTAGGGGGAGGGCTACTCGTAGGGGTGGGAGACACATGTTACTGTTGCTCTACGGGTATTTGTCATAGGAACGGCATGTCTTGTCAGACTGAAAGGCCATTCCCAGCTGTTAGGCTGAAGCACTGTGAGGGGCTTGAGCCAGTCCTGCCTGGAACAACCACGGTCACATAAACAGGATGCCTCAGATGTACAATTACACAAGAATGGATGACAAATAAGAGCACTATACATTTTTTTTTATACTTGAGAATTTTTTCCCACAGCACAACTGAACTGTGCTGTTGGTCTAAACAAATAATAACATACAAATATACATAGGAATTCAATATGCAATAAGTAATTACATCTTTTACAGAACAATTGATAACTACTTTGTAAATATATGATTTTTTTCTAAGCTGTCATAGTTGCCAAACATGACAACTATGACTATGACAACTTGTGCAGCACATTATTGCACAAGTTCCTTGTATAGGGCAAGGAGCAAAGAGAATTTTAGTAAAGCAATTCTGCTCAAAAATAAGGAACAATAAACATATTAATATGCTTTGACATCAACTCTGCCTGTCTCTATCTAGCTAGCTACTCTGCTAGTGCCATTGCTAGCCAGATAACTATATGGCAGTCTAGCTAGCTGTCAATGCTATAATCCTAAAATGTAGCTGTGTCTTGGAAGAATGACAACTATTTCTCAATCTACATTACAGTTGTTTTTCAATGCAGAGAAGTCATTTTAAAAGGCACTTCTCTGACACAAGAAGAGCCTCGTGCCATAAAGCCAGATTTTTACTTTGGTCATGGTAATCACAGACATCAAATGGATCAGTGATACATTTTTGGTGATACATTTAAATAATATAGAAGCTGGTTTTGCTCCAGAACATTTTGGTGACCCCTTTGGAAGAAAACAGGAGAACAGGAAGGATTTCCCTTTAGTGATTAAAGAAAAAGTCACTGTGTAAGACAGTCTTTTTGCCCCAGGATTATGATAAACCTGGAAGCATTGGCATAAGGACTGAAATAACCCCAAACTTATAGAGGATTTTGAATAGTTTTAGTTCTTCTCTGTAAGCTAAAATTTCTGACTATCTAGACTGAATGTAGCCCAAATAACTCCAGTGGTACTTTTCTTACAGTTTGAGCACCATGGGTTAGGGTTATGCAATACAAGCTAATTTGCTTTTATTTTAGTTTAAAGTCATTAAACTCTTTTACTCTGTCACTCCTAAGCTCCAAAGTTGGGAAATAAATCTGAAGCACCTGCAGTGCTGGCTCAAACCGTCTCTTTAAATATCTCTTTTCTAAAAGCTTATAACTGCTAAATATTTATAGAAAGTCGCTGTGCCAAAGAAACTGACCACATTTTCTAAATAAACCTTATTTGAAAATAAGGTCCAGATGTTTCACGTTTTTGGTGCACGATTGCAGTTGGCTGTGAGTGGTGAGTGAGTGTGTGTTTTCAGGGTTTCCATGACTTGAACCATGGTGATGGCTGTCTTAGTAATTTCAAGGCAACCCCTAGTTTTCGCCCTGCTTCCAGGAAGTAAAGCAAAACTATGCTGCAGCCTGCGTCATCAGTGAGTCAACTAAACAGTCTGGAGGGATATCTGTGAGGGAGTCCAGACACAGTCATTCCTCCTTCCTCTCACTTCCATGACTGTTCAGTTTCCTTGCTGGCAGTACACAGGGTCCAGTGCAACATACCAAAGTTCTGCTCCACAGAACATCCTTTCCAGTCAGCTCCAACGCACTGTTTGTTGGTTATAAGTTGAACAAAATTTATTTCTCTTTTGGAGCAAAACTTGGACAAAAAGAACTAAACATCCAACAAATGTTTTCGTCTTAGCCACAGTGGCAGAGTGGATTTTTGATTGTAAGGTGCTCCTGCTACCCTATGGCCTTGAAAGTAACTCGACTATCCATTTTATGAACTGAAATTTGGTCATGTTGCTAAAACTAAAAATCCTAATGTTCATTGTGCTCCTGATCAGGTCCTTCTGATGGCCTTAGCTCAACCTTTGGTAGGCCAAAGAACTGCTGGACCAGAAACCTGGCTGTCCTCTGGCTCGGGAGACTTGAGGTTGGACCCGATAGAACAGAGACAAATTGATTCCAGGAGACTACAAGGCACGGTTGACCAAGTAAGGTGCCTTTTCCGCTTCTATTGTGGCAAATCTAGATCTGGAAGCTATCTTTTTTTAATCTATCCTATCTTTCTATAGGCTAAAGTTACGTACTACAACTTAAAACTAAAATTCTTCATTTTATTAGTTAGTATGTGAGAAAAAACATTAAGTAATGTAGCTTAATATTGCTGCTGTCAATATCAGTCGATTAAATGCAGGGTAGATTTGCTTTGCTAAAACCACATTATATCTCTACTATGATGGCATTTTCTCTCTGCCTTCTGCTGCAACCATTAATGTCTTTGAGGTGTAGAAATGTGAACATTATTCAGGTTGTTTCCTGTGCATTTAAGTGTTAAAACCTGTGTTTCTATTGATCAGTAACGGGTGTTATTAATCACCAATAACAATCTACAGAAACAGATTCAGTTTTTTGGGAAAATGAACCATAAGCTCCAATTTTTTGACACCAGTAAGATAAAAAAGGATGGCTCAACCACAGATTTATTTTGGTCAGTAGAGACTAAACATAGACATTCCTCAGGTGAAGGGGTAATGTAAGGTTTGAATCAAGCATGCTGAATTTTGGCATTCAGTCTCAGTAGCACCTGACTGCCCTCAGCCTCCCCTTACATAACTTGTCATTGTTGGGATCACTCCAGTTTGCCTCAAGGTGGCTACTTAGCTTTCCTTTTGTCTGAACGAGGTTACAGACAAGTCTGTCATTTGACCGTCTGCATCCTACACATCTTCAAATGCGGCCCCGGCTGGTAAACTACGAATCATGTTGTACAAATCTAGGTTACAATACAGCTTACTAAATAAGCTTTATTAAAGCTTATTTTTAGCTTTACTAAAAATAAGATAGTAAAGTTGAATGGAAAGTGTTACAAATAAATGTTCCCTACATTACAAGGCTCCTACAAAGTCTGGCATTAGGTTTCAGTATATTCCATCTGGGTCGTATCCTTTCTTTCTTCTGTTATTTTTTTTTAACTCATCCTTCCTCCCTTTTATCCTGTCTCCTTCTTTGTATCCTGATTCCGTTAAGTTCTTTGTTCCTTGAGCCCTGCCTTCCCGGTTTGCTTCCTTTCACCTTTTTGTCTTTTCCTAGTTTCCTTGTGACCTTCCTACTGTCTTTTCTGTCCTCTCTGCCGCCTTTTCTACCAACACAGATTGGACCCTGTTCTGGTCCCCAAACATGTTCTTGAATCAATGTTGTGTTTCCAAAACAAAATCGAGGTTCCATAGCGTAAACTGTGGCTCGACTTGGGCACTACAAAATAGCCGGTTTTTCTGTGCAAACTGTGATGCCATCTCCACTGTTGCGTGATAAACAAGGTAAGAACAGTGTTATCAACTTCTCTGTTGTCTTTGACATCAGCCTCTGTTATGTGCAGCAAGAGTGAACACTATATTGGTGATCAGTTGAAGGTCTGTAGGTTGCTAAATTAAAGGAAGAAAGTTGTAATGCCCAGCTCACCCAGCTCCACTATCTTGCTACTGTGTTCTCTGACCCTCTTTTCATATTTCCTTATCTTTTTTCCATCCCTGCTTCCTTTTCTTGTCTTTACTNTTTATTCCTTTGTTGTGG